TTTGGTCTTAAATAGTGTATGGTTTTTGTACTCTAGTCTTGAATTGGGTATTGTTTCTTAGAAGAAGCTACTTTTTCACAGGAACCATAATTATGACTCCTGTTTTTCATCATTATCCATAAGACCATAAACAACAGCCCTAGAAAAAATTATGTTTAGGGCAACTGTTTCAGCAGCAACGGTCATAAATAGGGTATCGAGTATTTTGTTCAGATCATAAATAGGGTAAGGAAAATCGCAGATTTTGGTCGTAAATAGGGTACGGGATTTGGGAAGCGGGCCGCACACCCCCACCAAATTTTTCGGGGAGTACCCCCCGGGGTTCAGATAAAAGCCTTTCGCAGTTATTACAATTAGCGCCTACTTTTGTTACATTTAAGGTGAGGGTACTTATATTGAGTTAACAGTAAATTTTTATTAAATTTACATGTCGTATTACAGTTTAGGGCATAGGAAAAATCGGCAACAGATCGCACAAATACAACCCAGAACGACAACAGCAACGAACTTCAACACAATTCCGATTGTGATCCAAAAGGGTGCATTGCTGAAACAAGAAAACAACAAAATTAGTCATAAGAAGAGCGCAATGCTTGTTAAATACCTAGTTTGAGAGTACTAACGAGCTGACCATACCCTGAGCGATTTGCCGATGGTTGCACCCGAAGATTTCACGTAAATTTTTGAAAGCTGAAAAATTGAACATCACTTTACCGTACTTGTCGGGGTGTGAATTGCGAATGGAAACTATGAACGGTGACCACACTGGCTTGTGCTTTTCGTTGTATTTCGGATATTTTTATTTAGTTGACTTATTGAACTGAATTCGGCACGAGCCTTACCTGCAAAATACCTTGCCATTACTCTCTGAGCAGAAGCGAGCGTTCTTCCCATCTTTGGGGCCTGGGCAATAATTTCGGATATTAACATTGTCGCTACATGAAGAACCTCCTGGAAGGCAGCAAGCAGGGTTACTGTCCCATACACAACAGTGCGTTTGATCATTCCCCTCGTCAGGTCCCGGGCAATAACTCCGGATATCAGCACTGTCGTTGCATGAAGAACCTCCGGGGAGGCAACAAGCAGGTTTACTGTTCCATACACAACAGTGGGTTTGATTACTCCCGTCATCAGCGGGACCAGGGCAATAATTTCGGATATTAGCACTGTCACTGCATGAGGAACCTCCCTGCGGGCAACAAGCAGGCTGGCTATTCCATAAACAACATTGCGTCCGTTCCTCTCCATAGTTGGGGCCCGGGCAATAATTTCTCTTATCAGCATGACTGCCGCTGCATGACGAACCTCCTGGAAGACAACAGGCAGGCTGACCATCCCATAAACAACAGTGTGTCCTTTCAGGAGGGTCGGACAGCCCAGGACACGTGTACGAATCGTTGTAAGGTCCTAGACATCGCACGCGTGTTATCTTTATACCACGTACTGCGGATCAAGAAAGAGGAAAAGTTCACATCAAAAATTGAGGAAAATGAAAGTACGGGAAACATTGTTACGAGCGTTTCTGTCTGCTGAGTAAAAAAAGCTCAAGTCCCATTCGGGTCAACCGGTCTGCTCTGCGGGACTTAGTTTTCATCCGGGTATGAAGCAGTATTAAGAGCTTTGCTACTCCCCCCTAGATGAGATGCAAACCCACAGCAGGCTATCCCCAGCAGCTTATTCTAAAGTCTCCTTAACTTATCGCCATTGCCCTTTTATAATACGTGGACTGAGAGATGGAAGCACTGTGAGGGTTAAGCAGTTTCTTGTGCAGCACAAGGAAACAACAGAATAACCTCAGCCAGAGGGAGACATTGAAGTATCCAGCTCTAAAATACCGCAAAAATTCGGCAGACACCATGACGTCAGTTTCCTACGTATTTTGAATTCGTAGATGTGTACTGCACTCTTCGTAGACCAGCTTTCAACAAAAGAATCCATTTTTGAGGGATTGAGTTGCATGGCCATTTTATGTGAGGAAATTAGTTTTAATTGCGAACTTGCGGTCAAAGTCACGGGAAGTTAAAAAAGTTGTTTTTCACGAAAGATGTCTTTAACTCTGATCACTCTTGCCAACCTTCAATTTTAATGAAACGGTGAGGTCAACGGTTCATGGTCGTCGTTTCGATACAAAGTCGTTTCGATATAAATCGAAGACGATTCGATACACATATGAAGTCGATTCGATACAAACTGAGGTCGTCTCGCAGCAAAAGTAAACCAGAAGAAATATACCAGTGAAAGTGTGGTTATCTTCGCTTCGTACCCGACAGTGATCGAAAGAATTGTATTACCCAGTTTTAAGAGAGTTGTTCATTATTAGGAAATTTGGCAGGTCTAAGCCGCCTTTCATTTTCGGACCAATCATTGTGTTGTGTTTGATTTTAAGTTCTTATTCCAAACAAATTGAGAGCAAAATCCAAGGAGAAGATGAATGCAGATGAATTATAGGCAAGCTCAGAGAGGGCAATGCTTTTAAGAATGGTTATTCCGCAAGGTATGGTAAGACTTCTTGACTGCTAAGATTTTAGACGGTTCTTTATCGGATTTAATTTTCGCTTAAATTTGTTTTGAAAAATATGTGTTCGTTGTAAGAGAAATAGTTCGTGTATAGGTACTGGATGTCAAACTATAATTATCAAAAGTTGTCGAGGCGTTATATTTGCATGATCCCAGCCACATTCCATAAGTTTTGGAGTTACTTAATTCTTAGCCTGAAACGTCCTGAGAGACGTGCAATATTTCAAAAAGGTTCACCGCCGACCATGCGTCAGACACGAAAGCGATAGTAGCCTCCACATATTGAAATATTTTGTATTTCTTGTCATAGATTTGCATTCTCTTGATGTTATTATTTTTTCTGCTTACTTGCGCGAAAATGTCAGCGCACAGTACCCTGAGAATACCAGATAGAGAACAACCTCGTCTGAGTCCTCTTTGTAGGGTAAAACTGAAATTCCGAAGCGTACCTGTTGTTAATAACACAGCTGCTAATATCAATATAAGACGTTTTAACCCACTTTCGAAGTTGGGGACCGAAGTTAAAGACGTCTAGAACTTTAGCTAAGAAATTCCGGTCTACATGAATCGAAGGCTTTTTTGAAATCGATGAAAATTGCCATACTGGGTATATTTTCTAAGTTAAGGATGTTATTTTCATTATGTCCTCGACTAGCCTAATATTATGGAAAATGTTTCGGACTTAACATGTCCAGTTTGGTCTTCATGGTTTAGTTTGGGAAGAACTTTGGAGCCAAGATTCTTGCTACCTGCTATAGTCTTGGTTGCTATTTTGTAGTCAATTTTAAGAAGCTAGGGATTTTGGTCTCCAGTTTTCCAGGTGAAGCTTATCTTGTTCGTTTCTTGGTTACAACTTTGATTATGCCGTAGTCTCTGGGTTATATTAAGATCACCGTTGGTTAAAGCTTGTTTATATAAACCTTTGAACCATTTTATTTCTTTTCCTAGTGTGGACCGGAAATGTAGATAAAATTCTGCTGTTAATTCCCAATTCCCGTGCATTTACCTTTGGCGTTCAGTTTTAGAGTTTTAAAAAACAATCTTTCTTAGTCAAGACCAGTCCATGGTCTTTCTATTTCCTGCAGTCCAACCTCGTTTTACCTAGGAAGGTTTGTGTTTTCAAAGGATAAATTATCGTTTTGGTTCTCACGAGGTACAGCCTTGTAAAGGTTTTTATAAACAGCTTTTGGCAACTGAAAAATTCATCTGCGTTCGTTATTTCAAGACTTTGGGGTTTTTTTGCTCGTTAAGGATAAGATTAAGAAAAAACTGAACAGGTAACAGTGAAGCTTACCTGTGGCAACGAAAATCAGGGTAACAAATATGTCGTACAAACGACGATGCACCATCACTGCGAGTTTTGCTGAAGTCTGCGCGAAGTGATGCAGACGCGTCAGGGCGTGTTATATTATTGTCAGCAGTCAGTAATATTACAGAAAGGAAGCGGAAGTTTCTTGAAGATTATGCATCGTCATAACTATGAACTAAGACATTAGAGCATGTTATTAATTATATATGCTCCATCACATTGTTGCCGATAGACGACTGTAAAGCGACAATTTTAGAAAGTAAAAGTACTTAAAGTAGCTGGCAACCGTTTCCAGTACTTTTCCAAAAGCTACACTTTGATGGATCAATGCTACGACTCTTCATGAAATAATGCTACAACATTAGTATCACACAAATGTCCAGTCATTGGTGAACCAATAATAGCAGTATTTTTGACACCAGGTTCCCATAACAACACTACAACCTGTTGGAAACACCCTCAATTTTGGTTTTAAGTACTTCTAACTCGAAAACGAGCTCAGTGACCCCGAGTTTTTGTAATTGAATTGTGATAATAATGATAAAAATAATAATCGTAACTATAACAAAATTCTCGATCGTGATTGGTTCTCCACGTGCCTATTTGTCACGTAATCGGCGCGCGGTCACTTGGGTGTCCAATTACAGGTATCCAATTTGAACTTTCGTAATTGGACACCTGTAATTAGATGCCCACGTGATTTGCAAGTCAATTACGCGTGCTTTCATGGCTTCCTTCGCACTGTTTCCTACAGTTTTCAACACTTTTGAAAAGCGTTACAGACGTTTTCACTTAAAAGAAGTCTCAAAAGACATTTTTAATTCCGAAATTTGTTATAGATACGATTAATTAGTAATTGGACCTCGTGTCGTACAATTCAGGGAGTAACAGTGCTCGTAATTTCAAATCGGCCTCGCGCTTCACGCTCGTCCGATTTTGAAATTACTCGCGCGATTATTCTCTAAATTGTACTCTACTCGGTCCATTTACCATTACTAATAACGATAATAACGATAATAATGATAATGCTGATAATGATAATGATAATGATACTGATAATAAGTTTAATTCCATCATCATCATCGCAAGTTAATGAATTACAATGAGGTTACAAGAAAAAAAAGAGATAAAATTACATACATGCATTTATGTAGGCAGGGACTGGGTTACAATAATCTATGTAATATTAATTTACAATCAATTCCATGACAAAGATGCAACCTTTTCCAAAGTTTATAAAACGTTTGTGGAGTAGGTTCAGAGCCTCCTTAAATTTTCTAAAATTTAAAGCTCAGAAGAGACTAAGAAGGTGCATGGGTGTATGGAGGGGATAGTGAACTGGGCGAGATACAGTAGAAGCTCTGTTGACGGATACTCTCGTAAGCGGACAGCTCTGCTAACGCCCGCCTTCACAAAACCCCGTTTGAACTCCCATACAAACTCTGTATTTACTCATCCGTAAGCGGCCGTGGACACTTGGAGGGCTTACGATCGAGTCTTTTCCTTTGTTTTAAAGCTCCCGTAAGCGGACACTTGAAAGGAACTGGACCTGACTTTGAAAGATACTTATAAACATTTGTAAACTGTACCACTGCATTTTGTTACAGGGAGACTGTTAATGCTCGGTTAATTGCCGGCCGTAGTTATGATTTCTTCCTTAGTCACTAAGGGCAAGTCCTAGTACTGCAGTATACAGTACTGTGTACATGCAGTTATCGCCATTATCGCGGCATTGCACAAGGCAATAAAACAAACGAACAAAAAAAAAAAAAAAATTTGGTGGTATGTTTTCATTCCCAATGTTTATTGTTAGCTGGATCAAGCTCCCGTAGGTGGCCATCTTTCCTTAACAATTCTGGTGGCCGCTTACGAGAACTATTCTCGTAAGCCGCCAGCTCCAGTTACAGGCAGCTTTTTCGCGTTTCGAGGGCGTCCGCTTACGAGGGGCTTCCACTGTATTTTATGTTGCAGTCGTTACGAAGCTAGGGACTTGAAAATTGGCGGGACATCAACTGCTGAAAAGCTGCTGTGGATGCGGGTAAGAAGAAAATCACAGTTCGGATTTTCATTCATTTTATTCACATATTTATTCACATATTATCAACGTATTATAACTACTATATGTTGTACATGTGACAAGTTTCCGCTTCTACTCGCGTCCAATTTCTTTAATAATAACTGAAATCAAGTTTAACTAAGAGACTGCATCGAGAGTTTGGAGGGAAAGAAGTAAAGTAAGGTGTTCTCTGCTGCTGTGAATTTGAAGGCCAGAACTGACATGAAACTGGGTACGATCCACTCACCAGTCACAAACTTAAGCAAAACACACGACAAACTTCATCAAGCGACGTTAAGTGGCTACGCCCGCAGTCAAAATTAATTATGGCACAATGTTTTCTTTCGCGAATTTTCTTTTCTTGTGTCTATTACTACCTACAGAGTTTAAAAAGACGCATCGAAATATCCGTGCTCGTCCACTGATAAGGATGCAAAACTTTCTTTCATAAACAAATTTGTATAACGTTGATCAGAGAGTGTACTCCTACTGTTCAGTAACTGTTGCTATAAACAAGTTTGGTGGGCCAAATATAAATTAATCTATACATGAGATGCATTAAAATATCATTTATTTACTCAATTTTCAATACACAATATACGTAGATGATTACGATACTTGAGTAACACGTACAAAATATTATTAACAGTTACTTACAAATCATTAATTAAAGAAGATATATGCACGCTGCATCTCATACAAATCTTGTGTTATATTACCAGGGTCGAATTTGCCAACATATCAGTCCAAGAATCTAACTGATCCATCAAATTATAAGGGTGTGGTCAGGGATGCTAGAATCTAAGTCATCAGTTAAATGTTGTGTAATTGCTCAGCTATAGTTGAAATTCTCAAATGTCAGTAAGATTTGCAGAACTCGAGTCTCAGCTATCATTTACCGAAGAATTTGTCAGTTGTTAGCCTTCATTTAGACCCGATCCACACTCTCAATCATGTGTGTCCAGAGCTATCTTTTCCTAGCGCTTAGTCTCCGCCTGCTAAGAGAGACGGGACTGAAATGCTTTGTGAGAAAGGAGAATAGATCGAGGGCCAGTCCTGAAAGGGAACTTGCAAATATCTGCAAAGGACATTCTTACAAAAAGAGTGTACTGAGAGTATTAAAAATTGCAGTAAAAGTGAAGGAAATCTATTTTGGGTCGAGTAAGTGCTAGGTTCGATTGAGCTAAGGTTCAACGATTATCGGGGGTCCACTGTGCGTACATTTTTGAGGACCTACTTAATTTATCAGGCTTATCAAACACACTTACAGCAAACAAAAAAGTACACAAAAGAACGCTTACAATGCTGTTAAGTTACACAGCACTTATTTTACTGTATGTTGTTTACAAACGCTAACAACTCAAACCAAACTCACACCCTGCGTTTTTAAAAAAGCACTCCACGAAAACTTGACTACAACAATGAAAAGAGCTACACCCAATATGATCCAGCTGGTCGTACTGTTCTTTCTGAAAAAAGATCAAATTGGAGGGTAATTAGTAAATGATAAGCTAATGATAAGAATACCAAAGCAAATGAATACATGAAAGATCATATATTTGAACTGCGGAGAAAGATATGAAGACATGATTGATCATCGCAGTTATATACACAACGTAAGTATAGTTGTGAAATTAAAGCCTGAAGGAAATTCTGGACTAAGCAAGCCACGAAGACTCTGGGAACTCTGAGCGAACGCAGCCAAATTCGCATGCTTCGTCCAAAACAAAGCAAGTGCTGCTGGGTAATAGCAATTTGAAAACAGCCTTTTGGAAAGGAGATTCAACATTTCAAAAATCTTAGTTTGAAACTTCCAAGGAGGCCAAGGAAACTGGCTTCAGTCAAGACACGACATCATAAAAATGCCAGTTAGTCCACACACCGTTCACTATTTTTTGGCTACGAGATATTTTTTCGAACACGCGTTCAGACTTTTTCAAATCTCTTGCGGTTATCGCTTTTGCTTGCGAACTCTACGAAATCAAGACAAACTAGAAGGTCTATGGTCGGTTATAAGACTAGGCTTTCTCAATTTGTTTCCTTGGTCAGGATGTTGGGCGCCACCTTAGTGAATTTCTGAATGAAAAACGGACATCTAGAACTTGTCTTTACCGGACCGTCTTTAGACACAGAAGACATTAAACGTCTAAATTTGGTCTTACCTCGTACAACACTTTTTACCATCGTCACAGCAGTCCGCATGCTCCTTTTCGTCGTTGGGGCCTGGGCAGTAATCTCGGAAACTAGTGTCTTCGCATGGAGTGCCTCCTGGCAGACAACAAGTAGGCTGTTCATCCCATACACAACAGTGGGTCCGTTCACTTCCATGGTCAGGACCCGGACAATAGCTTCGCTTATCAGCATGACTGTCGCTGCATGAAGAGCCCCCTGGTAGACAACAAGCAGGCTGACCATCCAATAAACAACAGTGTGTCCTTTTAGGAGGGTCGGACAGCCTAGGACACGTGTACGAATCGTTGTTAAATCGTAGACATCTTGTTATATTTAGACCACGCACTGCCGATCAAAAACACGAAAAGTTTACAACAAAAATTACAAACAATGTAAGTGCGGGAACCAGTTTGTCGAGCTTTTCTGTGCCGAGTAAAAAGCTTTAGTCGCACCTGGGCCGATTGACCCATCACGCTGGATCTTATCTGATTTTTTATAACACGAAGCCGTATTAGGAGCATTGCTACTCCCCCTGAATGGGATGCTGACCCAGCGCCGGCTACCCCCCGCCCCCCAAGCATTTTTTTTAAGTTTCTATATCCGATCGAATTCTACTATTATACTAATGCAAATGCTGCAATCTAATTGTTAATTAGACTTTATTTATAATAACTGGATTGAGAAACAGAAGCACTTTGAGGGTTAAGCACAAGAAAACAACGCAATGACCTCAGCCAGTACTATAGAGGAAGGATATTGTATGGGGGTGAGGTTGCCGGGCACAGCAAAATCGCAAAAATCCTGCGCATACCGCACAATCAGTGTACGTGACTCTTAACTGGTTGTTGCCATTACCTAGACCTATCCGCAATTTAAAATTACTGAGCAAATTCGCTTGACAGAATGACGCTGCATTCTTCGGCTTCGCTTCTGACACAACCAGCAGCCTGATTAGGATCGTAAAACCGTGATTTGCATCCCTCAGGTTTAGGCAATGCCCTAAGACGACAAGTAAAATTAAAATTACTGAAAAATCGTTTGAAAAATTTTCTTATGCTGGAACGTCCCAGGTTTGCCTGACCTGGGGTCCAACGAGGTAAACACTATAACGTCACCGTGCCTCGCAGATGAATATTGAGTCGATGTTTCGAACGTATGAAAGTTCGAGCTGGAAACCTACAAAACACAACACAACACGGACAGACAGTTCTAGTCTGAGCGGAAGACTTGACACAAGCATTGGAAACTCGGTATAATCAGGTAGATAATGAGCAGAGATTTAAATCAAGTACTTAGATCGGCACATGCCAACAGCAAGAATACAGTGGAATATCTATGAGTGTCACAAACATCAAAGGGCAAAAAATAGCCCACCAAATCTCCTCTCTCCTTTTTTCACTTCGCTGTTTTTTCCCGTTGAGTCCCAATAAACTGAACGCCTGGAAGAGAATTGTGTGTATTATGGAGGTGTCCGCATTATAAACGTAGAGATTATTGCATTGTGGCTGGTTACTCTGCTGTCTCTGAGACTAATTGAACTGTCCGGCTGTTGCGTGGAGGTGTTCGTAATAAGCGGTTAGTTTGCATTCTTTTTTTCGCTCATTAAGGATAACATTAAGAAAAAAACTGAATCGGTAGCAGTGAAGCTTACCTGTGGTAACGAAAATCAGGATAACAAATATGTCGTACAAACGACAATGCGCCATGATAGTTTTGATGAAGTCAGCGTAAAGTGATGCAAAATGTCAGTAGTCAGTAATATTACAGAACGAAAGCGGAAGTCTCTTGAAGATTTTGCATCGTCATAGTTTCTTTTGTAGTCGAGGCATGAAACCTTGATATTAATTCTGTGAGCTATCGCAGGACCACTGTAGTGTAGAGTGATAAAGTCACAAAGTAAACTAACTGGAAGGTCTGAGAAATATTAAGGATCGCTGGCCAGCCTCGAAAAATCGAAAATCCTGAGATAACTTTTAGGGCAATCTTCGAATATGATAGCATCGCCACTTTCTAAGTTTCCAAGTTACGCGTACTGATCATGAAACATGACAGCACGAGTACCCAGGCAGACGAAAAGCATAACTGATCTGCGAGACACTGACAAATCACGATATTTTGCGATAACCGAGTTCAATAATTGATTCGATCACCGAGTTTGTTTTCATATTTACTTCACTCTCTGAGAGTTCAGGGAAGAGATCTGCCATTTTTCATCCAAGAGCGTGGTTACAATTACGCATGAGCAAAATATTATTTGCAGCAAAATACATTTGGACGGTATTACGCATGAGCAGACCATAATTTTAGGCAGTCATATGCAGGTCACGTGGTGGGCTCTCGGCCAATGAAAAGGAAGGAAAAAATGCTTCGAATTATGAGTGTGGTCATGCACTTGGCGATATTGACCGTCTAAACTTAGCACAAGAGTGGCACATGTCATTAACACTGAAAAAGAACACTCAGAATGTATTCTTCATGCATGAAGGTTACCTAACTATCTGCCGATTGTACTAAAATGAAACTTGCAAACATTTGCAAAAAGATTTTGCTCAAAAGGACTTTGAACGAATACCGAGAGATACTTATGCTTTTTTTCCAAACAAAATCAAACCAGTTTAGTTCGGCTGGTTCTATTGAGTGCGGTAATCGAACTCACAAAAAGCTGGAGTTCGAGCAATTGTGTTGAATTGCCGAACCAATCGCAAACAATCGAACGATCTCGAATGAATGGAGTCCGACAGAGTCCGATTCGAGAGAGAGATCCGAGTTCGATTTCGTTCGGTTTGGTTCGCCGGGCCCGCTCAGTAAACTCGTTATTCGACAAGTTACATTTCTTTTTCGAGGGTATCTTGTTCTTCCGTTCAATAGAAGAAAAAAATAACTAGGGAATGGGGTTAATCAAACACATACTCAACTCATAGGACAACAAAGAAGTACTGAACAGCTTACCTGAAATCTTCATATTCTTTGGACGTCTTCAGATTGAATCTTGGAAAGGTGTTTAAAATCGTTTTAAACAGGTTTTTACGTTCACAGGTGACTGCAGCAACACCCCTCCGGGGAGGGGTACTCCCTATAATGACCCATACGGGTAGGCACCGCCCGAAGGGTTACCACTTTCAGGCTTCAGGTGTATCAAAGGGTGGCGATTTCACAAGTTGAGGTCTAGGCGAATCTTTGTTCACACTTTAACATATGCTTATCGCTATCTGATGACGCTAATAAAAGAAACACTCTGAATATTGAAAGGGCATAACAGTTTCATTTATCTCTGAAAATTTGAGCCCAATAAACGGAATGGTTTCAGAGAAATTCTCTTCTAAAAATTCGAAATTTTACAGAAAAATGTATGGCTCATTAACTTTTTTGCCACACAGCAATTTCACAATTTTTGATGGCTGATATTTCCTTCAATATTGCTTGCAAAGAGCTGGAAATTGCACAAATTGCTCAACTTAATCAACTTTTTCAACTTTTGCATTTAGGTCATATATACGGCCACGGCTTCTATGAGTCAAGTCGTATGCTAATGAGGAAAAATGTAAACAATGACGTCAGCAAAGATTCGCCTATATGATGAAAGGGATAACTTTCCTGCCAAAATGGTATACAAAAGGGCGAGGGGCCGGGTTGGACCTCAGGACGCAGCCTTCAGGTATAAAAGTTTCACGTAGAGTACCCCTTCCTCCACCGGGAGCAGCACAAACGACTGTTTGAAACAGGCCGTGTTATGGGACAATTGAGACTCGAAATCACATAGATCAGTTTAAGTTTCTTTATTTCTGAAGGCCTCTGTATTTTAAGCCTGACAAATATACTACTTAAATGTGGAGCAACTGGCCAAAAGGAAAACTAAATCAAACTAAATCAAATTCTTGGGCCATTTCCCGGATAGCAAACCGTCCTTGAATCCATTCCGGGCGAAGCGATCAGCCAGGGCATCAGTTGTTTCCGGGGGGCCACCGTGGAAATACAGTAGGGGGAGGAGCAGCAGCTGTGTTTTGCATCTGCCTTCTTCTGCTTCTATAATTGTTCAGCGGACACCTCGACGAAAACCAGCACACACAGAACACGACAAGTAGAACTAGAACAACGAAACCAAAAACTCCCCCTAGGATCGCAGCCAAGAGCCCAACGCTGAAAATAAACCGAAAATAATATAAGAAAAGCTGAATTTAGGCTTGGCGAAAGAACAGCATTATCTGTTATTAATGTGCAAAGACTCTCCAAATACTACAGACTAATATTTTTACTTACATTTCTAATACAGTGAAGTCGCTCTAAAACGGACACTTGGGGTTGGTCCTTACCTTCTGAGTTATAGGTAAGTCATTTTACCTTATTAACATGTCAGAGGACGTTTGAGCAGTGTGTTTTTTTGTGAAGATACTTCAGATTGGATTGCATATGTTAACTTCAAAAACAAATACAACTTTGGAAAATTCACCAGTTTTCAACTTGAAAATCTGCTAACATTTGATATTGGAACCTAAACGTGCAGTTGACGTCCTTACTTCAGTGGCAATTTGCAAGTACTTTTTCTGGATAATGGTCCAAGTAAACACTCTTGGCCGCTAATTCGTGTGATTTCCCTGACCGAGTTTTCCTCAAACACAGATCCAAAATGACCGGCGATTGTTTTGAAATTTCTCCGGCATAGTGAAGACGGAAAACATTTGATGCGCGCGTTTTCAGAATGAATCCTCCGGTTTCAAATTTTTCCGGCGTAGTGTGCGACAGATGCGACAGATGTTTGTCGTCGAGTGACTGTAACCTTAAAATTAAATAGAATATATATGTGACGTTTGAACGGGGCTTTACCTGCAACACTTTCCCTCGTTATTAATCGTACAGCAGACTTTATCATTCTTTCCATCGTTTGGGCCTGGGCAATAATTTCGGACGGAAGCGGCGTTGTCTCTACATGTAGTACCTCCGGGCAGACAGCATGCTGGACCATTCCAAAAACAACAACGGGTCCGTTCAGCAGGGTCGAAGAACCTGGGACATGTGTAAGACTTGAAAATTCCTTGAGCGGGGCACTGTGTTATGCCACGCACTGCCGATCAAGATAACAAACAATTAACAGCAAAAATGAGTGAAGTTCGTGTAGTTTTACTGTTACGTCAACAGGAACGACAAAACATCCTGTTGCTTTAGTCTTCAAGGAATTTTTGGCACTTAGATTACAGCTTTCACGATATTAGTTATTCACAAGGCTGTTCTATTTAAAGTTTAATTTCCGTTGGTCGTCGCTTCATTGAGTAATCAGGTAAACTCTAACCGGCGGCTGAAAACTTAACTCTAGCCATGAAATGCGGGCGACATTTCCTATTTCTTAAAGGAGTTTTAAAGATCGAGACAAATCTACGAAAACTTGAAGGCGGATTCCGCTAAAAGTTCGAGCAATAAGTGCAAAAATTATTTACTAAAAATCTACTCACAGCACAGTAACTTTTGAAATACTAATTAAAACAACTCACTTTAGTTCATTTCTCTACGTGACCCCTCGATTAAATTCTCAAGCATTCCAGGCTCGAGATAGTTAATGTCAAACCTCGTAAGAATGCGTAAAGCGTATGTTATTGTGTTTTTAACTAACGCGAAACGTCTGTTTTATTTGAAATATGGATAACTTCAAGTTCAATTTTCTCTCGCAGGGTCAGTTTGAGAGCTTAAGTCTCGCTAAGTTCTTCTTAACTGTATTCAAAATTGGCAACTTAATTTTTGCGTTATTGCTCGAATGCTTTGCGGAAATCATCTTAAATTGAGTGTTTTTCTGTCTCACACCTCAGTCCAATGTTCTCCCGTGGATTTATGAACCTCTTCTAAACACTTAATCTGTTTTCTAAACCACAACACGGAAATTGTTTCCTATTTGATCGTTAACTAAAGAGGGAATGGTGTACCACAGGGATCTATCCTCGGCCCCTTATTATTTAACATCTTTATGAACGATCTTTCCTATGTTATTGAGAAGAGCACTCTGTCCACTTACGCTGACGACACTCAAATCTTTTACGCTGACAATGAACTCTCCAAAGTTGAAGAAACAATCAACAGTGATCTTATCAGTGCTGATATATGGTTTGCGCGAAATGGTATGGAGAGGAACAGTTCAAAATACCAGGCGATGGTGTTGGGAAAAAATAAAGGAACTGATGAGCCAGTTTTTAAGTGTGAAGAGTCACAGCTTCCCATATCCAACACAATGGAACTTCTTGGCGTGACAATTGATGAGAAATTAAATTTTGAAAAGCACATCGCTAAAATATGTAGAAAAGTCAGTCAACAGATCGCTGTATT